AGTATTAAACTGGGGCAGGAGGGAATATACTTGTTTCTGTGACTGTCACCGGTGTTCATGGGTTTAAAGACTAAGTTGGGTCCTGTACTTCAAAACTTAGTGATGTGACTTCTCTCTTTCTCAGTTACTATGCTAGCCAAAAGAAGACATTTGAAATTAACCCCAGGCATCCGCTGATCAAGGACATGCTCAGGCGAGTCAAGGTAAATAAGTAACAGTAGTGAAACATTGACTACTTGGCTGCACACAGCCTGATTAACAGGTCTGGTTTTGGTTTTTCATATTCTTCTACATTAGGAAAATGAAGATGACAAAACTGTTTCAGATCTTGCAGTGGTATTGTTTGAAACTGCAACTTTGAGATCAGGATATATGTTGCCAGACACTAAGGAGTATGGAGACCGAATAGAAAGAATGCTTCGTTTGAGTTTAAATATTGACCTGGATGCAAAGGTTAGTTTGTCTTCAACTTGGGGCTAATAAAGGACTTTACTGTTGCTTCATCTGAAAAGCGCATCTGTTTGATTCACATGCATTCAATTAAATGTATCCAGCTTTCTGCCACGTAAGTGGGCCACTGGAAGCCCAGCCATGAATCTGGACTTCCTCCTCATGTTTTCCCTTCCCCATCTCTTTGTCTAGTTGCTTGAGATTCTGCTACCTCATTATGCTTCTCAAGCGTTGTCCTGTCCCTAGCTAAGTGGTGGATCTACAGGAGTAAATTATGGGTCAAAGGCATGTGGGCCTCTCTCTTTAACAGAGAAATTCCTAAGTGGATGTAAGTAATATGGGTTCTCATAATGCTGTGCAAGAACTTAACCTGGGTATTTTGCTGGAGAAGGCATGACAGTGGGTCAGTGCTAAACAGAACTTGCTTTCTCCTTCAGGTAGCTTGGGGCAAACGTTAGGATACTTCCATAGCCTGTGTTTAGCTAGTCCACAACTAATAAACACCCTAAACAAGTAAAGCAAATTGCTTTGACTGTCATACAGGTGGAAGAGGAACCTGAAGAGCCTGAAGATGCAGCTGAGGAGGCAGAGCAGGATGAAGAGGAAGTAGATGCTGATGCTGAGGACAGTGAAACACAGAAGGTAGGGTTTCAAGTTCGACACTTTCTTGCCAATATTTATGTGCAGTTTTGTCTGTGGAGCTTTGTGGAAATAAATTTGTTCACAACACTAGATTTTAGTGTGAGGTTTTCCAGGCTTTTCTTTGGGGGAAGGGGGGGGATGAGTGTGGAAAGTAGCACAAATTCCATATTAAACTACATTGTAAGAAGATGACACTTTAACATACAAGCTTTGGAGTATCTGGTATTTCTACAGCTTGCAGGCAAACCCCCAAACCAGAAAGAATGTAGTTTGAAGTGATTTTACAAGACAGACTTTTAGCAAGACTACAGACAACAGCATTGCTTCTAAACAGTTGAACTATTATGTGAAGTCAACCTTCACTTAGCTAATGTCTGCAGTTTTAATGATATCTTGATGGATATGCTAAACCCTTCCCATACCGTAGCTTCTTGGAAAAGACCTGCAAGATGACCTCCTGTGACTAGTGCACATCTATAGTTTAGAGAGGTGTAATTTCCTACAGAAACAATTACAGAAGAATGCTTATTGTACTATAGCTACTTAATTCTGATGCTATTACTGTTATCCTTGCACAGCAGAATAACCTGTGATTACAGTAATATAAAGTTTCTGTTCTGGGGAACAGCTCTTGTAATCTTCTTCCACTTTCAAAAAGCAATATCCTCATTCTTTCTTTGTCTTGACAGGAATCCACAGATGTGAAAGATGAACTGTAAACTACGCTCAACTACTGTCCTGCAGTGGGGGGTTAGGAGGGAATGTGAATTAGATTGTTTTGGTTTTTTCCACTGTAAAATGTTGAGGGATGATATGGGGTTTAAGGGTAAAGGAGGGTTTTTTTTAAGTTCACTTTTCTAAAAACATTCCTCATGAATGTAAATTTGTATTATTTAACTGACTTGGTGTAAAATCTTGTCATGTACAAAATAAAATGTTCCCAAACACCACTAACTCTAAATTTATACATGGAAAGCTCATCTTGTGGGCTGGCATAAAGAAATGAAGGGATGGTCCTTTGTACAAATGGGCAGTTGGCAATCCTCATGCCTTTCCATGCTGGCACAGCCACACCTACTAGTGGAGCATATATGGCTATGGTTGGGTTTTGTGTTTACAAACCTGCTGTGCTGCTTTGCCAAAATACACCGGGTATCTGAGAGCTGTGTTGTACTTGCTACTTTAAATGAGTATTCAAGAAGTTATGTATCTACTGACATCTTAAAGTTGAGACAAGGCATTTAAAAATGGCATTAGAACTAAGGGCTGGGCAGTGGTAGCTTTACAGCTGGGGTGGGGGAATTCCTTTCAGTAAGAGGTGGGTTTACTGCCTGTGAGCTGGTACCGTCCTCTGTGGTACTTGGAAAGCCTGCCTTTGACTTGTGTAGCTACAGCAGTTGTTTCCTACAGGCTTTTTTTAAAGGTGTGGAAGTTCTTTTCTCATGTTTACTCCTTAATGCTGTTATTCCTAAACTTTATCAGTGTTGTTCTGTGTCTCTTTAGTATGGCAAAGCACTGTAGATACTCCACGTAACTCAAGCTAAATCTGTTGACACCAAATTTTAATGCAGACGTGTTGAACTGGAGGCACCCCTTCTATTCATTAGGTTAGTTTCATGTAGTGGTTGGATGAAGCACTGCATTTTCTCAGTAGTGCCTCTACTTTAAAACATCTTCCCAGGGCTGATAGAAAGTGTTTACACTGAAGGTTTTGGGTTTTGGGGGTTTTTTTGCCTTCCTCTGTGGAAGCAGTACATAGGGGTGGTACTTCTACATAGTGATTCTACTTAAGAACCCCTCACTTCTGTTTCCTTAACAGAACTTCTGTGAAGTTACAAGGTTCTGCAATCTGAAGCAAAATAAACTGTTCTAATTAGGTGAGAGCACTAAACAATGACCTGAAGAACTTGCTTTCCATTTACTTTTACTAGGCTTCTATATTGCCTGATTACAATTTCCATGCAATAAATATGGCATGTATCACTGTGGTTATGGTGTTAGGGTTTATAGAGAGATGGTTTTATTGAAGTCTGCTGTTTGAGACCTTTAGGAATGAAAGCTTAGTTTGGAGTTCTGCTTTCTGCTCAGTGTAGTAATATCCTAGAGAAGAGCCTTCTGTTCCTGGCACATGCTGAGTGGTCTGACACGACCAGCATGTCCTTCAGCACCTGGCAGTGTCAGTTCTAATAGCAGCCCTTGGCAGTAAATTAGTGACCAGGGCAGGTGCACCATTTCTGGAGACTTGTTACTCTTACTGTAGCAGTGCAACTTTTTGTGCTGTGTAGCAATCAACTCCTGCTGAGGCTTTAATACTTCCAAAACTATCACTTATTTTCAGTGTCACCTTTCTGAGTATATACTTAGTACCCCCACCTCTGTATCTCTATTTGACCCCAAGCAGCAACTGCAACTCACTCCTGTATCATTGGAAGTGCTTTTGCAGCCAACAAACCAAAGTGGAATATTGGAACTGTAGAGTTGCTTGCTACAGTGTTCTCAGTCTGTTAATTACTTGTAGACTTAGGCAACCTTTGCTCTGTTGTATAGCTAAAGTTCTCGTTGCCTTGATGGGTTTGAGGATGACAATTCAATTTCAGAAATAATAAAGAGCACACTTAAGAGTCATGCTTTGTGCTTCTTCATCTACTTCAGCTGAGAGTATCATGTCCAACATAGCTGTGGTCCAGCTGCTTTCTCTAGACCCTGGAGTGACGAGTGTTTGCTATTAATAAGCACAAAATGTACTTGTAAGCCTACTTACTTGTCAGCTCTGAGGCAAAACAGTGTCGATGCTGGAAGAAGTGTCTCCCATCAGGCTCTTTCCTTCAGTGCTGCAGTTATGCTGACTGGGACTGTCACTTCTGTTAAAACCTGGTGTGTTGTCAGCTTTGCTGTTCCTTGAGGGGCACTAATGAGGACAGTTCCCTCAGTACTAGAAAAGGCTGAGCTCCCTGTTGCTCAGTCTCCAGCAGCAGCAGAATACACCTAGAAATCCAAGCCTAATTAGTAGAAAACTTCCTTTGCAGCCTTTAGATCTGAAAAACCTTTAGGAAAGGGGTAGAAATGCATTTTTCATGCCAGAAATCAACAACATGAAAGAGGTGATAATCTGACAAAGTGTGAGTAACAGAATAAGGGGTTGGTGAATCCTGGCTCTGTAAGGGGATCGCTGAGAAACTGCTGTTCATGCCCCAGTTAGAACAGAAACAAAATACTGCTGAACTGCCCCATCTTGTCTCTTCAACAAAGTTTCTCTTACGCTGAGGTGGAAGGTTGCCGATCTCAGCTTTCTCTAGGTGCAGTAAGGGGAAAAGTATTTTCACCAGAACTGGACCTACTAAAATGGTCTCATTGATTGATTTTGTTTGGATTTAAAATGTTTCTATCAATGCCTGCTGTCATTGGTAAAGGTGCCCGAGAGAGAGAGCCTGTGACCTACTCGTGCTAAGTGCAGGCTGCATCCTGAACGTCACACAAGAGCAGGAGAGGATCTCATCCCACCAACAGTTGTAAACATGTGTGAGAGCAGAGGCATGTACACATGCAGGAGGATTACAAACCTTTCTTCCTAGGAAAACAACTTATGCAGACATAAATAAAACAACAGCTTCACAGCTGGAACAGATGTAAAAGTAGGACTTTCAGTGATTCCTTCTGCTATTACAAGACATCCACATACTTTGTCAGGAGGAATTAGGGAGCTTTTTTTGTTTCCTTAATGTGTAATCTATCAGTTTTGTATAATTGCAGCTATCAAAAGCAGCCATAAATAGATGAAGATGCCCAAATGGAGTATGAATGTACATAATTTCAGTGTAATCTGAGTGGCCCCATTTCAACTAAAATGACCAAGCTGTAAGATCCCAGCCTTAACAGTGGACCAAAGTAGGTTTCCTGTCAGTGATACATCTTTGTCATGGTTTAACCCTTTATTCTGAAGGACAGTTACACTGCAATCCAGATTTAGGAAGTCACAATTATTTTGGCACACAACTGACTGGACTTTTAACAACAGTACTCGCTGTACATTTATTTTAAATGCTGCCTGAAACTCTGCTTAAAGGAAAGCAAAAAAGCATTAAAGCAGTCCAGTATTTCATATACATATTTCTGCAACTTAAACAGTTGAATAAATATTTTATCAGTCCTAGTTTTCACAGCGGAAGTAACTTCTGGTCACTGTTGTGAACTCTGACCTTTGCTTGATCTTTCTTTTAGACCCAACAGTTCTGTTCTCAGCTCTCCAGGCTTAGGAGGTATTTCAGGTATGCTCTGTTAAAAACAGAGAAAGATATCAGTGTTGTGGCAGAAGAAAAAACTAAACCCACAAAACAGTAAAGGATCACACTCTGTAAGAGCATTATAGCTAAACTGTGATTATACTGCCCTCTTCTTTGAGCAGAGTGTAATTCCTACATGCAGAACATCTTAAAAATTACTATCTTTTTGTAATTTGACTTTTATTTTAAAATAGCAAAATATAATTGGGAAACAAAAAAGAAGGTAAAAAAGAAAGAATTAACATTTGATTTAAACGAACATTTTTTGCCATTAAAGAAAGTAAGTTTGGTAGAGATGTTTAAAACAGTTGAAGTTTCCACACATACTCTTTCTCCTGGTGACAGAAGAAAATGTTACACTGTCTCTACTTTCCTGATTTAGAAATTAAGTATTGAAGCTGAAGAGGAAATTTAAAAATAAAATAAAAGGTACCAGATGGCATGACATTTCAAGAATGGTACCTCCTGAAAATTCATCCTACTTTAGGGATATAGATAATTCAGTTGTTCTGAATAAATAGGTCTATTTGCCTATAATGAAGGCTACAGTAGAGACTACTGAAATAGATAAATTCATATGCATCTATCAGTGATTTAAGCCTCATTGCTTAAATTTTGATGTGACAGCTCTAGCACGGTAATTTTTTTAAACTTATTTCCCATTTGAAAATATCACAGTGGAATACAAAAATCAAGAGGTATACAAGAGCAGGAGGGTGAGAGAAAGCTTACAAGTCAGGCCTTCAAGAGACAAAGACATTAATATTCCTGGATGGTTTCATGTGAAGTTTGTTTCTGTGACTAATTTTGACAGCCTTGCCTGTTGTCATTTCTAAAGTCAACTTTTGGTTGTCTTCAATTACTAAAGGAAACAAAGTCTTTTTAAGTAGCACAGCCCCTTCTTAACCACTTTTGCACGCTCTTTTCAAAACCCATCTTCCTACAGCAGAGACCACTTCTGAAGGGGGTTACACAGCTTTTATTTTTGGTACCACATCACCAGAGTGGAGGTGGCTCCCCAGAGAAGTCACAGAATCCCAGAATCATTAGGGTTGGAAGGGACCTTTGGAGATCATCCAGTCCAAACCCCCTGCCAAGGCACGTCCAGGTGGGTTTGGAATATCTCCAGAGAGGGAAGCTCTGTGACCTCCCTGGGCAGCCTGTTCCAGTGCCCTGCCAGCCTCAACGTGAAGTTCTTCTCATGTTGAGGGGAAATTTCTTGTGCTTTAGTTTATGGACAAGTTGCTGCTCATCCTATTGCTGGGCACCACGTGAAAAGAGTCTGGCACCATCCCCTTGGCACCCGCCTTTGAGACAGTGATATGCATTGATGAGATCGCCTTTCATCCACACTCTCTCTTCTCTACAGTAAACAGGCACAGCTCCCACAGTCTCTCCTTACAAGAGAGATGCTCCAACCCCTTAACGATCTTTGTAGCCTCCCCTGGACCTTCTCCAGGAGCTCCCTGTCTCTCTAGTCCTGAGGAGCCCGGACCGGGGCAGGGCGCGGTCCCGGCTGCGCGGCCGGTGCCGCTGCCGAGGCCGATCTCTGTGCACAGCCGGCCCGGACACCTCCCCGGGGCAAAGCCCCTCCAGCAGACCCTCCATCCCGCGCACACGGCACCACCGGCCGGGCCCCTGCGAGCACTTACGAGGTCCGGCCGGTAGTACCTGTGCACGACCTCTGCCCCCGCGAACATGGCCAGCATGCTGGCGCCCAGCGCCCGCAGGTACGTGGGCCAGGGCACGCCGGCGGGCATGGCCGGCCCAGCTCCGCACGCACCGACCGCGCCGGACGTGCGTCATCCCCGCCGCCGGCAGCGGGGCAGGGAAAAGGGAAAGGGAAGAGGGCGTGAAGGCCCGCCCCTCGCGCAGGAGTATCGCGGCAGCGCGCGGTGAGTCGCGACAGAACCCCCCGCGCCCCCCGGGGCAGGGGGAATCACACCCCCCTCCCCGGCCCGGCCCCGCCCTCCGCGCCCATTGGCCGGCGCGCGTCACGTGTCGCGGGGCCGCCCGGCAGGTCGGTCGGGGCGCCGCGCGGGGGGCGGGGGCGGGGGGCGAGCGGCGACACCCGCGGCGACAGCGGCGGCGACAGCGACAGCGGCGGCCCCGCCCGCCATGGAGCCCCGGGAGCTGGGCAGGTACCGCCCGCGGCCGCGCCCGGGCCTCGCGGAGGGGCCGCCGTGCTCCTGCTGCTCCTGCTCGCCCCCGTCCCGCGGGCGGCGGGGCCGGGCCGGGCTGTGGCGGCGCCCCCGCCCCTTCCCCGGCACAAAGGGGAGCGCAGAGCGGGCTCGGACGGGCCGGGCCTGGGGGGAGAGAGAGGCGCTGGGCCCCGACCGTGTCCGCGTACCGAGGGGGGAGCTGAAACTCGTTTAGTGCTTGGGCTTGTTTAATTATTTAATTAAACAAGAGAATTATTTAATACTTGTTTTGCGAACAAATCTTCTTCTCTACCCCTTTTTTAAATTTTTCTTTCATGTTTAGCATGAACTGAAGGCGGGGGGGGAGGTTGAGGGTAAATAAATCACTGCCTTTTCCTCGTGGAACTGGGAATATCTATTCAAACGTCCCGTGGCATTTTGTTGTGTTTGTTATACATCAGTAACAAAGAATCGCATTTCTGGACCCACGCGCAAGAAATGTGGCCTAAAATGTATAGGAAACTTAGAGGCAGGGGTAAAACTTCTCTTTCATCTCAGTAGCAAGTGGTTAGAGGACTTGTTTGCGACATGGCGTGGATTTTCTCTCTGTTTAAAGGAAATTTTATTTCCTTTACAAGAAGGAGAGTTTATATACACATAAAATAAGGCCTGTATTACAAGACGGCATCTGGTCTTGGTTTCACATCTTTGTTACTCACTCTGTTCTGCTCTGTATGATTAAGCTTTTATTACTTTATGAACTGGATTCTGCACGTCTCAGTTGTGTTTCCCAACACAGATCTGAAGATCGGTTTGGTTTGGTTCAGTAATTGCACAAGTATTTTATATAAAATGGTACTTTTCCAGCAGAGGAGTTAAAGTATTCACTGTACTCTGAAAATCTCCCATGACTTTACTAGGCAACTTGCTCAGGAATCTGACAGACCTACGTTCATATTTGTTCTCCTTGATTTGGGGCAGGTATTTGGTTCAAAATCAGTGGCTTTATCACAAGACTGTGGGCTGTTCTGGTATAAATCTGATTGACGGTGGGATTCTTAAAAATCCATTTTGTAGTAGGGAATGGTCCCTTCTTGAGACATTTAGAATTACGGAATCATTTATGTTGGATAAGATCTCTAAGGTCATTGAGTCCAACCATTAACCCAGCACTGCCAAGCTCACCACTAAACCATGTCCATAAATGCCACATCTACACAGCTTTTAAATAATTCCAGGGGTGGTGACTCAAGCAGTTCCCTGGGCAGCCTGTTCCAATGGTTAACAACCCTTTCCATGAAGAAATTTGTCCTAATATGCAATCTAAGCCTCCCCTGGCATAACTTGAGGCCATTTCCCCTTGTCCTGTCGCTTGTTACTTGAGACTGACCCCCACCTGGCTACAACCTCCTTTCAGGTAGTTGTAGAGAATATGAGGTTCCCTCTGAGCCTCCTTTTCTCCAGGCTAAACAATTCCAGCTCCCAGGTCCATTGCCCTTCTCTGGACATTCTCCTCAATGTCGTTCTTGTAGTGAGGGGCCCAGAAATGAACATGGGATTTGAAGTGTGGCCCCAGAGCAGGGGGATGATCACTGCCCTGCTCCTGCTGGCCACACTATTTCTGATAGAGGCCAGGATGCCACTGGCCTTCTTGGACAAATATGTCTATGTCTAAAAGTTATTCGGTGTTTTTGTTAATAGCTTTGAGATGGTAAAATTGATTCCTAAAAATTTACTGTTCACAAAATCCTTTCTATGTATTTTTATAGCAGTAGAATCTGTGGCCAAGAAAATGGCTGTGTAGGTAGGAGTGACAGCATAAAGCCGAATTTTGTGGGGTGTGGGGGCTGTATGTTACTAATAAATGTGTGGAGGAAGAAAGCTGTGTATGGAAAAATGTCTTTATGCATGGAAGGGAGCTGAGTTTTTGTGTATGTGAACATTTCCATGTAGAATAGTGCACAAATAGTGCACTATTTGTGTTGGGATCCAGTGTGTGATAGCTGGGCAACATCTGCCACACAATTTGTTAAAGCTGTTTAATGATCTGCATGGTAACAAAGGCTGTGTATCCTTAATGCTATATAGCTCAGGATGATTTATCCATTCTGGATCTTACCAGATCAAGTAAATGATGCAGCACTAAAAAACGTAAAATTTGGGAAACTTAAAGTCCAAAGAGTTTTAACTCACGTGTGTTGTAAATTGTTGGTGTGTTTGATAGTTTGCTTTGGAATAGTGTGCTGCAGAGTGTTTTTCCTGAAAAAAAGGGTAAAGCTCCACACTTCATTTACCCATGTTATGTTAATTCCACATGATAGTAATCACAAGAGAACTGTACCGTTAATGTTGGGTTTAACTGATACCAGCTGGACTGCTTTGTGGATTTGGATAATTTACTGCCTTGTTAATGGAGTTGTTGGAGAATGTAAGTGCAGTACATGCCTGCCTTTATAAAGTTTGATTTTTACAGCATATATGGCACATCACCAAGTTTCTAAGTTGCTGATAAGTTATGTCTCTTTTCTCTCCCTCCTAAGATACTACGCATATCTTCAGCAAGCTCAAGCATTTTACTCGTTTCCGTTCCATCAGATGATGACTGCTGTGCCCAACATGGAAACGATGGCTGAGCAGCCAACTCTAGAGGGCATTCCAGAGCCAAACATTGCTCAGGAGCCTCCAAAAGGTAGATTGACTGGGCTGTGCTAAGAGAGATAAAACAGAGGCAATTGATTGGGAAAAAAAATTGCTCTTAAACTGCTTCTTTGGACATATTGGATTGCCTTTTCTTGGTGGTCTCTGAGCAAGTATTGATTAATTGTATTCTTTAAGTAATGTGTCTTAACAGATAATTAAAAAGACAAGAAGTAAACCCAGGTGAATGTATTCAGGTTGTTCAGTCTCACACAATTATCTTGTTCCAGGAGAAGCAAAATTTTGTTTCAATAGATAAATGCATAATTTTTAGCTGGTATCATGGGGTTTAATATTACATTAGAGAAGGTGAGTTTTAAAAATTCTGAGCTCAAAATACTTTTTTTTTTTTTAATTTCTGCAAGAGAAGTACAGTATAACACCGTTTATTTGAAATATTTTTGTTTAAATGGTTCTTTAGTGTGTTGTAGTAATCACAGGTAGGGAACTGGTTGTATACACTAAGAATCATTTGGTTTAGTGCAGGTTATTTAAACAAAATACAAACAGTGCTAGAAAGCGGCCTGTGGCATTACCTGTGGCATTATGCTGTCACATGAAAAACCTTCTACCTCTTCAAGGGGTGGGAAAGAAAATCTGTTTATGTGGCTCACCAAGTCTGGGCCCTTCTGTTCTCTTCATTGCAACTAGACTAGTGCTTGAATGCTGTTACTGAAAGCTTCCCTACGCAGCTGCTGCAGTCATGCACTGGGAATTTCACATGGTGTTTGTTTTCCCTTCTGTTTACACAGCTTTCTTACAAGAACAGCCCCAAAATCGTTTGCAGACTTAGGGCAGTGTCTGGGTATCTACCACAGTATTTCTTATCCGAGGGAGATTTTCATCTATGAATTTTGAAAATAAAATGAAGTCTCAGTTTTAAAGTAATAGATTCCTTTGTCTATTTATCAGCTGCATTGTTGCTAGATATGTTTTCATATTTTTCAAGTTGAGTTCTACAGCTTGACATTATTAATGAACATAGAGATAGAGAGCAATCTCTGGGTGGTCATGTCATGGCTAGTACCTGTGCTGCTTGAATCTCTAAATTTTAAGAGTGAAAAGATGAGGAAGCTTCAAATGAGTGAACAGTGACGACTTCATGTTGGCATTTTGTAAATAAAAATGAATGTTTAGTGTCACTCACTCAGATGGAGATCCTGCTGAGTGCTGTCCTGGACAGTATCTGTTCTGGAAGCAGTATGTGAATGCAGCAGTGTGTGAATAGCTTATGTAGCATTCAGCCTCTGCACTTGTGTTCCTGACAAGTTCATACCTGACACTGTGGGTAATCCTTGAGCCCTTTTGCTTTTGATGTGTTGCTCCTGCAAAACCAAGATTCGTCTGGTAATGGTTTAAATTAGTGAATTTTGAAGGTAAATTTATCTTTTTGTATCCATACATTTAGCTGAGTCTTTTTGACGCTGCAACATTAGAAATGTACAAAAGGAATATTTCCTTTGTGTTTCAGAAGTTAAGAAAGGAGGAAGGAAAAGAAAAGCCAAAGCAACTGAGCCAAAGCAACCCAAAAAGCCTGCTGCTAAAAAAGAAAAAACAACCAAATCAAAAGGCAAACAAGAAAAGATCACAGATACTTTTAAAGTCAAAAGGAAAGTGGATCGTTTTAATGGTGTATCTGAAGCTGAACTTCTGACCAAGACCTTGCCTGATATTTTGACCTTTGATCTGGACATTGTAATAGTAAGTAACTCAGAGTTACAAGATTATGTAGAAAAGTCTTGTACTCACTCGTTATAATTTACATTCCTTCTGCTTACTTATCTGTATTGCTTATATGGTAAGATCTTGCAAGATAAAGTGTATAAACTGTTTCCTGTGTGTAGAGCTGCTTTGCATTTTCTGTTAAAAGCCAGAGTAACAACACAGTCCTAATTTCTGAGAAATCTAAGGTTTAGGTATGATACAGAGTCATGAGAGACTGTTACTTGATACTTGGTTTACTGGAAGCTCTGCACTCTGTGAGCTGCCCTTTTGACATTGCACAGCTAAATGAGGCACTGCTCTAAAATTGACAGGTTTTTTAGATAATAATGGAAGGTGCCATTAACACAATTTTGTTTGTTGACAGTACCTTAGAATTGAATCAAGCATCCTTACTGTAACTTGATCAAATTGCTGACTAGCAAGCCATGTTCTCATTGTTCAAATGGACTGATATCTTTGTAGATTGGCATAAACCCTGGCCTGATGGCAGCTTACAAAGGACATCATTATCCGGGACCTGGAAACCATTTTTGTACGTTTTTGTTTTCCTTTCTTCTCTTAGAATTTGCAGAACTTTTTTAAAATTTATGGTATTTTAATTAAACTGGTTTGGGGTTTGTTTTTCTCCTGATTTTCTTTTGTTTTGGTTTCAGAGAGGGATTTTGCTTTTAACCATCCAAGAGTGATTTAAATCCCATAAGTACTCCTGTCAAGTATTGTACCTAAAAAGGAATAAAAGAGAAATAATCAGCAGCTTTAGATGCAGGTTTAGAATTGTCACGTAAACATACTGTTACCAAATACCTTATTGTTGTATTGGTGTGCAGCTTAAGGAATAAAAATTAAATCTCTAGTACTTCAGTTATCAAGGGTGAGTCAGTAAACATCAATTTCTGATGCAAAATAAAACCACACACATTATCCAAAAAATGTATTTCATCAAGCCCTCTTCTGTTTGCATTTATTCATCCATCTCTTCTTTAGAAGCTTTCTAAGTGATGAAAAAGCAAAGCTAGTTGCCCTTTCCAGACATGTGCATCTGGCATACCTGATTCTCCAGACAGATGTTTTCTCCTAAATATTTTTCCATTTTCAGTAGCATTTTCTGCAGCACGTTCTCATAAAGAAATATCCTACCTGAACTCTGAAATGCTCAGTTCTGCATACAGGAGCTGTGGTGGTGGGAGGGAGCTCCACCACCTGGGGCTAATTGCAGCCCTGTGATATTCCAGTCAAAACATTCCTGGTGCCCAGCAGACCCAAAGCCAGGCTTGGGTATTCCTCCAGCATTCTGCAGCTTGGTCAGACTGATCACCTCCTTTACTGAGAAGCAGGCCAGCTATTCATGCTCTGGCAAATCCAGGTGTTTGTAACCTTCCCAAATCATTGGGAGCTACCTGGGGTGAGTTTGTGCTTAAGAGACTGGCACTGCACATCACCCAAACTGTACGTTTATGTGCTAAATAATGTGAGATGTTAGCGGTTCTGTTAGAGAGGCCCAGTGCAAGGAGGAGCGATGGCAAGCTTGTAAAAGACAGCTGACACATTGTATTTACCACGTTCTTTGCCACAGAATCGATGTTGCTCACACTCCCTGCTTACGGGAATCACAAAGCCTAAAGCTCTGTACTGAACTTTAGAATAAAAGACTGGTTTCCATACATGGGATGATGAGGAGGAATTCCTGTTCCCTAAAGCTTTTCTGCTCTCTTGCAGTAGATAAAGTAATAATCGTTATTTTAAACTTTTCTAGATAAGGCAATAGTCTTCCCAAATTAACTGGTGCTTTGTTAAAATGGATTCTTCCTTTAGCATTCCAGTATTCTGACAGTTGAGTTTTTTTCATTGTGCTTTCTTTTCCTTAGAAATAGGCAAATATGTATCTATCTTCTGACTTCACAGGGAAGTGTCTGTTCATGTCTGGTCTAAGTAATGAACAGCTGAACCATATGGATGACCACACTTTGCCACATAAATATGGGATTGGATTTACAAACATGGTTGAAAGGACAACACCTGGAAGCAAAGACCTCACCAGGTAGGGCAGCAAGGGGGAATGTATCATGCTTGTTAATGAACTAATAGTTGTGATTATAATTTTGAGTACCTTCCCTTTTAGCAAAGAGATTCGGGAAGGAGGACGAATTCTGATGCAGAAGCTACAAAAGTATAAACCTCGTATAGCAGCTTTCAATGGAAAATGTGAGAACCTTGACTTTTAAATTAATCTCTTCTGTCAATAGCTTTTGGGTTTTTTTTTCTTCCCACTTATCCTATCTTCTTTTTATTTTAGGTATTTATGAAATTTTTAGTAAAGAAGTTTTTGGAATTAAAGTTAAGAACTTGGAATTTGGACTGCAGCCACACAAAGTGCCAGATACAGAAACTGTAAGTATTGAGACTAAGGAACAAAACCAGGGCAGTCCATTTAAAAACTAACAAAACCTCAGGACTTGCATACACTTCTGATAATGAACCAAGTGCATTCTGGTAATGACCTAAAGTACAAGAGATGTGAAAGGCTTTTACCTAAATAGAGAAAGGGGAATAGTGCCATTTTTGTACACACCTTTCATGCAGCTTCTTCAGAATTGCAGATTTTATTTGGGAAACTGTGTATTATGATTTGGTTAGTGCATTCTCTGAGAACTGTCTAAAATACGAATAATACATGCATGCTTTTGTGATAACTTCCTTCTGATTCCCTGTGTCCAATTCCCTGTATATTTGTATGACTGAACTTTAATACTGAACATGACCATGGTGGTGGTAGTGCCACTAGTGGTGGTAGTGGGGCAGAAAGAACAAGCCCATCACTGTGCTTTTACACACAGCCACTACAACATTACAGGAGCTGGGCATGCCCAAGCACTGCCATCAGACTGGACCTCCTTAAGCTGATTGTAGTTTAAAGTTCAGTTGGATGCTGAAGATAAACAGTTTGATGAAGAGTGCATTAGTCACAGACATCTAGTACTGGAAAGTATCTCAATAGACCAGCTATTTATCATCAGAAATAGGTTTGTTTAATGTGTTCTTATAAACGAGTTAAGGCAAGGGCAATTACACTACCTGCCAAGGTAGCTTATTCTAAAGCTTCATTACCTTGTCAGTTCAAAAGTTTGGATTGTTTTTCTTCATATTTCTGTCCCAAATTACTAGTGCTGCAAGTTTAAGCTGTCTTTCTCTAAAGGTGAAGTGTTGCCATTAGAGCCTGAAGTTGGTGATAAAGTGCTTACTTGCTTAAGTAGCTTTTAAAGACTTTTGCAGGAGATGTATTTGTAAGAAAGATAAATAATTCCCCATACTGGTACTGGTTCATAAATACTGCATGGGGATAAAAGGATTGAATACGGTTTGGTTTTGCTCAGCTAACTTGATGTCTTTAGTTAAGGCTGTTGGCAGAGGCAGAGACACTTGAGTTGGCTCCAACCATACTGACTAACTGCAGTTTCACAGCCTGGCATGTGTGCTGTGGATGCACTTGGCCAAAAAGCCAAGCTAATTAACTCGTGGTGCCTCCCCCACGGGTGTGGGCTGTTTGCGTGCTGCCACGTACTCCTCTGTGCACTGTCTGGCTCAGGGCTCTGCTTGCTCAGGGAGCTCTGGAGTGGGCTCCACTCTCTGGCACACACTGTAAATTGTACTTCTTGTAGCACACACTGGTACTGCTTCTCCTGCAGCACATAAATAACTGGTGAAAATTGTCCTCACTTTGGCAGCTCATAATTGGCCCCTCTCTTCAGGGCAAGACAGCTGGCTGGACAAGAAAAATTAAAGACTCCTTTTAGCCCCTTCCATGACCACCTCTGGCATCAGTTGAAGTTTGTACAAAGGGTTAAAACAGTGGGCTTAACTGTTAAGCTGTTCTCAATGCACTAAATATTAACTCATAGCTCAATAACGCTGTTTTCCTTGCTCCTTGTCTCAAGCTCTGCTATGTTATGCCATCGTCCAGTGCAAGGTGTGCTCAGTTTCCCCGGGCACAAGATAAAGTTCATTATTACATAAAGCTGAAAGACTTAAGGGACCAACTGAAAGGCATTGCACCAAACACAGACGTGCAGGAGGTGCAGTACACATTCGACTTGCAACTTGCACAAGGTACAGTGCTTATTTTGTTAACCCTGTATTAAAATGCAGTGTAGTGTACAAGACAACTGGAAGTTGCACAAGCAAAAAAAGAAATAAAGAATGTAGTGGGGGAAGGGGGCAGATGTGCCATCTGTCCTAAACTGTGTTGTGTAGAATTACAGATTCCACTCTCTTTTTAGTACAGCCTAAATTCTGTAAGGGGAGCAGGGGATTATCTTGTAGAATTTGTGGTTGTTTTTCAAGTATTTTCTGATAAAAGTGCTCTTTGATAATATTTGTTCTAAATATTAATACTTGAGGTCTTCTGTTTCTGCAGAGGATGCTAAGAAGATGGCTGTCAAGGAAGAAAAATACGACCCAGGCTATGAAGCAGCGTATGGAGGAGCTTACTGTGACCGTGCACTGTATGACAGTGAGCAGTGCAGCTTCTCCTCCAATGGAACAGGTAAAGTGCAGCGCTCGGGGGGTTCGGGCTGTGACCCATTGCTTAGGAACAAGGGCTCAGGGCTGTCAGCTGCACTTTGAAAAGGGGGTGATTTTTGTTTTGTTTCAGCAGGAAGCGATCCACAGTACTGCGAGGGGTCGTCCTTCGGTATCGTTCCTAATGGACAATGGATGACACAGTCCTTTGCAGACCAGATCCCAGAGTTCAATGCTGGTGTGACACAGGAAGAGGAGGGAAGCAGCGTGTAGGAGCTGTTCCTTCTCGGCTATGCATCCATGCTGCAGTTTTAATGCAGTGACCAAGATTGGTACCTCAGTTCTCCAACTGAAGCATTTTAATAGTATTTTATCTCCCCTAGTTATTTTATTATAGTCCAAAGTAAGTGTGTGGTAGGCTGAAATTGATGAACTAGATAATTTTAAGGAACTGTTGAAAGTTTTTTTTTAAAAAAAGTTAGGCCTTTTTTGTATATGAGTTTTATATTTAATGTATACCATTTCTTGCAGGTTTCGACAAATTGCTTTCTCATTTGTGAAGATTTCTTTGGGGCGTTAATTTTATTTCATGAATTGTAATGTAGTAGTAACAGCAGCAGTATACTTCTTACTGATGCCTCAATATTTGGATATCTCACAATCCTTTTATATCCAGAGGGGAAAATGGGAAGTGTACCCTTAACTTATGTGAAGCGATATTTTTAATCATGCACAGTTAAGGAAACTGTGCTTTTTAAGTCTGCCTTTTACCTTCTTAAAAAGTGCAGAAAGTTGCATTCTGCAGCTGTGAGTACTGAGTATCTTCTGGGTGGGAAGAGAGAGCTCTGTCTGTTTGGTGAGTGGACCATATTCAGGATTAAGGGAGTGAAGACATCATCTCAAGTCACAACACTGGGGAGGAAAATTTGTGTCACACAGGACAGAGCCTAAATATTCTAGCTGAGCTGTCTTAAGGTAAGATAACCTACCACTCTTATCTCTTTCCCTCTGAAATTCCAACGTAAGGCACTGGAATTCCTTGAAAAAAAACCAAAACAAACAACAGTGCTGGTTCTTCAACTCTGTGCATTCAAACTCTGTGGTTACCTTCACGTGACCTTCAGGAGTAGACAACTCCTTTGAACAGATTACATGGCAGGGAATTGAAAGGCTGCATTCTCTGTAAAAATCATGTACAGCTACATTGTTTACATCATGTACAATTAGCACAGGGTGAAAAGAGCTTGCAATTTAGCAGGTTTGAACATTCCATTCTCTTCAATCTGTAGGACCTTAGAGGGTGGTCTCCTTATTCCTCTTACAAGCAAAAAATACTGAGTTAAATATAGGGGCAGCTGTTCCGTGAATAAGAAAGAAGTTGGCTGTAGAAACTACAGCTCTCTTCTGAGGAACTTGCCTAAATGGCACACATTTTTGGCCAATATTAGTTACTGAGAAAGAAACACGATTCCATCCTGGTGCCTAACCATCGTCTTCTTTCCCTCCTTTGTCATGTGAGGAAGAGATGAAGTAAAAGCAATAAGCTGATCAAAACACTACAGTTTTGATGATCTTATGACAGTTGGTGCTTCACATACTTGAAAAACAGATACAAACAGTATCTCCACACTCCACACGGGCCAGAGAGTCCTGTAGGGCGTGATTTATCCTTTCTTCACAGCCAGCAACGGTTGTCACTTGTGTGCAACTAGTTAGTGTAGGTTCTAATCCTGCTGTAACAGCTCTCACTGAGATCACACACTGTCAACCTGTTGTGAGGCAGGCATGATGTTTACAGTTTCTTCCCAAATTAACGTGGCTTAATTCTGAGCGTCTTAAATCAAGAAAGTGTGCATTATGATTCTGATTGTGTTTATTAGCTTCAGCATAAAGCTATTCTGTATATTGTCAAAAGGTATAGGACTTGTCTGTTATTTAAAGTGTACTGTATCATGTATTGCTGTTTACATGGATGTTTTCTTGCAGGTGCTCAAAGTATCTTGCATCAGGGATTTGTTACAATTCAATTATTTTATTTTCAACAAAATTGGAAGCATGGAATTAGCACTGCTGAGTATGTAGCACAGTAGGACGTAACTCCTGAAAGGCTATCCTCTTTGAGTGGAAGGGAAAGGTGTCTTCTTTGAAGGAGTCACTGGGTACAAAATACAGTTAAATGTACAGTGACCATTTCACTAAATACTGCAATTCTATGTGTCCTCCCTCAGAACTGGTGCTCTTTTTGTTACAGTAGTCCAGAAGTTCTTAATCTGTCTTAAATCTATCCATGTTTCACAATAAAATCAGGAATTGTACTGCCGTGTCTCGGGATGTACTTTCACGTGTTGCTAGCAGGGGTCTAAGTGCACTACAGGATGTGTCATACACAGAAACGCCCCAAAACAGAGTCACCACTCAACAACACTCCACTCAGTAACATGTGCCTAAGATCTCATTTCAGGCTCTTCAGTGTGGGCCAGACAACTAAAGACACTTTGTGTGTAATACTACAGGTATCTGCTCTGTAGGTCTTTCTACCAGAAGACATTGGAGTCTTATTTATAAAGACCTTAAATTAATTTAAGTACACTGTCTGGCACTGAGCTTTACCTCTGTAAATGTTTAATGAAAATACTTCACTGTCAAGTAAACCTGGTTCCTCACCTTACATGAAAGTCAGGATAATCTGAACTGTGTAATGGTCACTCCAGCCTCCCTCTCCAGCCCTAAGCACACAAAAGTGAGGGTCAGTTATTCATATATTCAACAAATATTTCATTTTCTAAAATCAGTTAATCATATGACTCATATGCTGCATCTCAAACTATTACATGCATCCAATACACTACATTTTGCAGTATTTAAGTTGTTTCAGTATCAGCTGTCAGGACGAGTTAATTTGAACTTCCCTGAAGGGTCAGGAATAAACCAGTTTTCCCAGAGATCAGTGTGGACACTGGGATAGTCCCAAGGTTTGTATCTCCCATTCCAGTGAAGTAGTTTAGCTTCTTGAAGAAATTGCTCTGAGTAACGGGCATCAGGACTCCAACCTGCATGGGTAGATTAAAAAAAAAAAAAATTAAAAATCCAGTTTTTAATAAAGGAGAACACTATAGAGTGAGTTAAATTCAGGTGATTCTTTTTCAGAAGTCTTACTAGTATGGTTTCATCAGATAGTTGTATGATAGAGAAGCTTTTTTTAGCTTGATGCCTCAAATGCTGCATCAGCAAAAAAAATTCAGCAAGTTTCTTCTCTCGACACTTTTATCATCTTGGCATAGCTGGGATTAAAAGCAAAATAAAATCTATTCATTTTACCACACCAAGTGAAAGGTAACTGCATCCTCCAGAATGTTGACAACAAATGCTGCTCAGCCTCCCATATTCTTCCACTGCACCTAGAAAAAACTCTCTGATTTTTTTCAGTCTCTGACTATATTCAGATCTTTCACATATTCTTTCATAGCTGGTGGCAGTGTAGGTTAGCTGGTCTTTAAACACGTAACTTTGCCCTTGGTATTTGGGTCTTTTTCCTTTTTTCATCCATTTTCATAACTATTAGGGTTTGGGGTTTTTTGCAGGGATGCAACTATGGGAAAGTGGAGATTATGGGCTGTGGATCGGAGGCAAAAAGTAATGCTTGAGGTAAAGTAATGTAAGGTCCTGCACTGGGATCTTACAAACTGCTCACTTTAGTTCCAACTTGCAAACAGTGAGAAGTTAAACTTACCAAGATGCCTTATGTGCCACATAGGATTAATAGAGGAATACTTTCCATGAAACACAATCAGCATTGGAGAGGTTGCCACACCTCCCCCAAGGGTGCTGCTGTAGAGGTTTTCCCTGCAAAAGGAAAAATAAAAGTATGTTCAAAACCTCAAAGAATCTTTAGCACAAAAAGCAGAAGATTTAAAGTAAGTATTCTTATATAAATAAAAATTCAAAATCATTTTGACCGGGCCAGTTTTCAGCAGACTCCTTCCTTATGCTGTTAATTGATTGTATTTGCAACTCCAATCCCATGGAGCAAATTGTTGCTACCAAGAAAAAATGGGAGTCATGCCCACCATGAAGCCAGTCTCTTCTATACACAGCCTGTAGTCCTCAATAATGACAAAGTTAACTGTAGGAAAAAAAGCTGTTAAAGAAATCAAACATAATTTAGCCTGGTTTCCTAAGAAAATGTACATATTTCCATATTTTTCATTCCCTTTCTTTCCCTTTTCCCCATCCCCCAGCTTTTAGACCATAAATTAACCTCAGGTTGGATTTTGTCAAAGCCTAGTTAGCATAAATTAATATCTCAAGAATATTAGTTTCCTATGAATTTTGTGGTAAATCCAGGGCTAGATCAAGCCTAATCATGGTAAGGGGAGGCATTAGGAGGTGGCAGCCAGGTGTTTGTCCACATATGCTGATGGCCCTGCTGACCAGTTGGCACATGGGCAAAGCCACCCTGCCTATGGGACACCCACCAAGTCCCACAGGGAGGAAACCTGGGAAGTTCAGAGAGATGCTGAAAGGCCACAGAAAAAAAAAAAAAAAAAAAAAAAATCATAACCTCCCCTCAAAACTGAGTTTCAATTGATAAGCAATATTTTTTTCACTGCCATTTCAAAATCCAGCTAGAAGGAGCATGAATGTGTTATTAAGGCATAAAAACAACTCTATAGATCAAATTTGCAGTAATATGGAGTTTTTACTCTTAAAATCTCTTTATAAGCATAGCAAAAGCTTGTCAGGATATGTTACATAAGCAGAGTAAGAGAAAGACATTTGGCTTCTCACTCATTCACGTACTTCTCATTTGTGTCCCTCATCTGTTCATTTCTGAAACTAACAAGTAAGGGACACAGCCCAACTGCACAAACCATTCAGTGTCAGTTTAGCCTTTACTAAATTTAAATTCAATCCTTTGCAGAGTCAAGTTTTCAAATACAGGTTAACAGGGAACTAATGTAAATAATGACTGGTGGTTGTTTCACTGTGTAAAGACTAATTCATGGTCAGTAACAAAAAGATATCTTTCATATCAAATTTCCTTCATCTAGAGAAAAGGAAGTCTTTTCTACTGTTAAAAAAAAAAAAGATGGTGTCCAATTACAGTTTGGCTGATGCTGCAATAGGAGAGTCCCCACACAAACAAGGAAAGATTCCTCCTTCTTTCAGCCAGCCTCAGGAAAGGAAGATCATTAAGTGGCTTGATCCCAAGTGAAGTTGGTCACCCAAAATGAGAACCACATGTTCTCAGTGTCCCTCAGGATTATGTGTGGTTTGTCATTAAACACAAGACTGAAATTCCAGGTGGTCATTTCCTGGTACAAAATTGGTCAGATTTAGACAGATGGAATAGAAGTTAAAAGAAAGACTGCCTGGAGTTGAAAAAAGCTTTTAAGAGCTTTTAAACAGAAAATAAAACTGTAAACCAAGTATGAAAAGTGCAAAGCTAGATCTCTACACGTACTCTACATTTCTTTGCATCCACTTTTCCAACTGCTTCGTAATCCGCTGATGTTTCCATTCAGTCATGTTAGCAACAATTACTCCAGGATTAAAGGAGCAGGTGCTGGGGCTGATGCCAAGGTCTCTGATGGCTTGCTTTCTATAGTCCAGGAATCCCATGTACGTGTTCTAAGAAATAAAAAAGGTTGTTTATTCCCTATGAATCTTTTTAAAGACTTGTACATTCATCTCTCTGTCACTGAGAGGGAGACTAAACATGCACTCCCAAAGCTGAATTTCTAGATGGTGGTTATGTGTTGTGATTTCCATATAACACAAGGCTGAAAGGCAGCATACTTCCAGACACTAAATTGCTTTTTTCCACGGTATGGTACAGTGGAAGTTTTATAGGGCTCTTTCCTCACCACATCTTTGTTTTTCAGAAGCTCACACTAAATGTGTAGCATCACACTTGTACAGCTGTAATAGTAGAGGGATGCACTGACAGTTCTGGGGAACTCAGCCCAGGAATTAGCCTTTAAATTGCTTTCCTAGGTTTCCTTCCTAATGTGACTAATACAAATATCACATATTCTGTCTTCATTAGATGTTCTATAAATGCTCACAGTCTACTGATAGCAAAATACCAAACGTAATTTAGTAGACTCCAAAGAACTAGAGATATTTAAATTATTACAGGAAACAACTCTGCATAGCACTACAGAGGTACTCCCAAAAGTTCTTAATTACCAGTAAAATTATTACAAACCTAAATATATATCTATCTATCTATCTCTAACTTCCACTTTGGGGAACACATATGAAATCATCTTACACTTATGGGTAAACAAATTCATTATTAGAATTCCAGAATGGCATCTTACCTGCATCCCTACACTTCTAATCATTTCATGTGTAGAAGGCAGATCACAATCATCTGAAAAAGCTGCAGCATGTCCAGGAGCCAACTTAGTATCATAGAGCTCCTGGATGTCACCTGATTACAGAAGGGTCAAAAGAGTAAGACAACACCTATTGCATTGCTACAGAGTTGATAGGATAACATCTGTTTTCATATATGTTACTTATAAACACACCAGTTTTCAGGGATAGCCCAGATATTGATGAAGGCTGAATTATGTAATATGGGACAATTCTCAAATTTCAGTCCTGTACCTCTAAGGTCTAGCTTTAAATATTATCACTGGAATGTCCAAAATCACCTACAGCAGAAGCTGATTACACTGTTAAGAACCCTGGTTACAAACTTCTGAAATCACAGAGCTTGCCTTCGGAGAGGGAGAGCACAGGCAGATTTTCTGATCCTCTTCAAGTCCCAGAAAGGTGCCACTTCAGTCTCCTTCACAGATCATGTTTTTCCTGGTATTTTTGCACTTGTACCTCCTTTTAAGATACCTGGGTTCTCAGCAATGGCTAGTAGAAATGTGCCTGTCACTCTTGACCATCCCTGCTGGCTTCACAGACCATCCAGCTCCTTCCTGCTGGAGGGGAATAACATAATGCCTGGCACCTCCCTCATCACCTGACTGGCAGGTACCCACAGTGTGCCACAACAGTTTCAGGGCAGGTGGGAAGCACAGCACTGCCACAGCAATCAGGTGAGCCTGCATCCAAACCCTACAGACACCAGCCCTGCTGCTAGGCATGGGCTGGTCACTGCTAAAATGAATTATCTTGGAAGGCCATGTATGTCCCAGTAGCCTGAGGTGAGCTCATTAGAAGTAATCAAAAACATTCCCATACTGCCAACACTGGAACTAGTATTTCTGAAATAAACAGAGATTATGTATCTGTTCGAACTCACCAGGTGGTTAGAAACTCATGTCCCACCAAAAATAGAATCTGAATTAGTAGGACACTTAATTGTTGAAGATCAACATGCCTTGCTAAGCATTTTCTCATGATTCTAAACAGCTGCTGCTTTTCTCTTGAGAAGCAAAAACAACTTAAAAAAAAAAAATCAATGCAAAGAATTCTGGGCTGACACCCCAAGTCCAATATGTTTCATTCTTACTGCTTTGCTGAAAGCAACGACCAACAAATAAATGGTCCCAAAGTTCAGACCCATTCTCTGCCTATTCCGTGAGAAGTCTCATTCACTGCCATTGCAGAGACATCTGACAGAGCACAGTCTCAAATTACAGCTAAGACACAGGGAGTAGCTGCCTGGACAGGCTCTCTTCCTCCACCTCGCTCCCATATGTCCATCTTTACTCCTCTCTTGTGGGCCCTATGATTGCATGGCCAAAGAGTGAACAAAACAGGCTTGCTGAAACAAAGGGGAAAAAAAGACTTAAAAAAAAAAAAAAAAAAGAAGAGTTTGATTTCTTCTTTTTTTATTTTTTGTACTGCTAGTTTTCTGCCAGGTCAACCAGCTGAATCAGATTCTTCTGCAGCTGCACAACTGCAGATACGACATAAGTAACAGGATCTGCCTGGGGACAGGAGAGGCCACTTGGTCAGCAGCAGCCAACCACGAGCTGTAATGAGAAACTGCACCTTTATCCTGCAGCTCCACAAACACCATCAGCTGACATAAACTGACACTTCTAGTGAAACAGAAAGCCCTACCTCCCCTCCTCCCCCGGCCAGGCTGCCTTGACTGCAACAAGGTGTTAATTAAGGCCGAAAATAATCACGTTTCTGGTGAACTCCTGTGCGGATGCAGGGTGGGGCACAGGGGAAGTGGTGGGCTCAGCTTGAACCTATGGAGTCTAAATGAAGACTTGCAGAACCTTTCAAAGAGTTAAATATTGCTGTTGCCCATTGATAACAGAAGAGCAAAACTAAAAAGCAGAGGTAGCCACAGGAAGCACTCATGTTGAAGAACGGTGATACAAAGTCTATTGCAAATTAAAGCGAGAAAGGCAGAGCGGGTTAGTTGTCTTTTATAAAGCAATAAATAGCGACACCTTTAAGTGCAGATGTTCTGAAATCTGCCTCTCAAGAGACAAAATTAGAAAAAAAAGTTGTAGGAAAGCAGTGGAGAATTATACTTTTGTCATATGTAAATTCAGTGGTCCTAATGTTCTTACAGCAAAGACTAATTTAGGCTAAAAAATTCATTGTAGTTAACGCTCAGTCCTTTCCAAACAATTTTTCATTGGAACATTCCTTTAACGTTTAACAAGAACAGGTAAAATGGTTTTGTTGCCCCTGTGGCCTGGCTAGAATAGATAGAGTTCATTTTCTTCATAGCAGCTCAAATGGTGCTGAGGTTTAGCTTTTTAGCACACTCATGTTCTGGGTTTTGCTGAGCAGTGGTTGCACAGCATCAAGGCCTTCCCTGTTCCTCATTCTGCCCCTCCCAGTGAATAAGTTGGTGGGTGCACAAGAGGCCAGGAGGGGACACAACTGGGCACATGATCTGAACTGCCCAAAGAGCTATTCCATGCCACATAATGTCATGCTCAGCAAGAAAAGGGGAAAGAAGAGGTGTGGGGTGGGTAAAGAGAGATGAGGTATAGGTAGCCAGCTCGTGCTTGGGAACTGGCTGGGCATGGATCTGCCCATCTAAGGGGTTTAGTTTCCTTTTATTCTCTCTTATTCCACTTATCCTTTGTTTATTAAACAATTATTTTTTTGATTGTTTTATTTTGACCCTTTTCTCTTCCTCCATCCCACTGGGGGTGGGGGGCAAATGAGTGAGCAGCTGGTGGTGCTCAGCTGCCCACCAGGGTTAAAGCACAACACCCTGATTAAAAACTGCTATAAAATAACAAAAAAATATGATAAAACAAGGGAGAACAACAATTCTAATCAGAAAAAAAAAAAAAAACCAAACTACTGGGAAACAGAACATAAAAACTCCACTGTAAATACTTTAAAAAAACTTCTAAAAATACACTTTAAAAAAACAGTTGTTCTTCTAATTAGGTTACTTTGCATGATAAGGAAAAAAATTTTCAGGATTGGAATATCTTCTAACTGCTCCCATTTGTTTATGAACTCTGAGATCTTTGATCATGACTCTGCAAATTGCTTTGGATTCTGAGCTGAAGATGCTCAAATCATATTTTGAGTGTTTGGAATTTCAATCTTCTTATTTGAGTAAACTCCTTTTGCTCTCAAGAACAGCAGTTCTGGATAAGGAATTGCTAGCATTTGGGGGAATTGAAATATTAGCAGGAAATGCATGTCACGTACTTAATAAATTTTGCAGCACCTGAGTGAAATCCGTTGTATCTTTCAGGAATTGACAGAATCAATTACAATTAAACCCTCATAAAATTTTGATCACAATTATTCAAAACATATGCAGATAAGGTCTTCCTCAGACTTTCATTTAGATATATAGATTATTTGTAGTTCCCCTAAGACCAACACTCCCAACAGTTTTTTTAGTTTCCATTATATCTCATCTTTCCAAATGACCATAAAAGCTGCAATAACTTTAATTTTAATTCTGCTGGAAACTGCTTTTTAGATGACAGCTTACCTTGAACAATAACATCATCATCCAAATATATTACTTTCTCATGTTTCTGGATAAGCAAAGGAAGATAAAATCGAACGAAGTTCAGCTATTAAACAGGAAAGAAAAAAGGTAAAAACTAAATGGTAAAGCTGTTTCATGTCATAGTCTCACACTTCTGTCTCTATTAACAACCAGTTTTAACATTTCTTAACTGAGCACTAGCCAGTGATCATTTGCTTCCTTCCCCCCAACTTTACTAGTATCCAGAATCCATTATTATTATTATTATCATAATTATCATTATTATCAATCCATATTTATTTGCCATGGCCCAAACCAAACAGCCCAAAACAGTTGTTTCTTCACAGAATCACAGAATCCTTTAGCTTTCAGCTATTTTCAGCTCAAGGGATTTTCTGATCTAGGTGTTATCTTTTTAAATATGAACTTCAGTTCTAACTGAATCCCTCTACATTTGTACATCCACAAGACCTTTCAGCAAAGAATTTTCATCGCATGAAAAGTGTGCAACATCTCTTGTTTGTGCTGACTGTGACTCCAGTTAACTTAATCTTATGGCTGTCAGTTCTTACATGGGAAGAGAGTGAGCAACCATCCCCCACCCAGCCCTTCACACCACTCCATTCTCTAGACTGCTACTGTTTTCATGCTAAAAGTCCAGCTATTTCCAGGCTGAAGAGTTTTAACCCGCTGATTCCCTGCATGAAATCTTTTCCATGTATTAGAAGTGTCAAAGGCTCAGAGCAGGGCAGCATGAACAAACATTCTGGACAGACCCAAACATTTTCTGGTGGTGCTACATCTATTTTAGTTAAGGGGATGAAGACTGCACCTAGTATTTAGGATGAGAGAAAACTATGGATTTGCACTGTGGCAAACTGATGTTCTCTACTTTGATCCTTACTCTTTTCCTAATATTTTTTAATATCTGATTTGCCTTTGCTGACAGCCAGTAATTTAGATTAGTCATTAGACTCTGAATTAACCATGGACATGAGTAGAATGCAGCCAACTCAGCATCATGGAGGCACAGTGAACACTATCACATCTCCCCTCCAATAAATAGTGTATATACTATCAAAGATACAACACATTCAATTGACCAAATTTATGCCATCATATAATAAGGTCCTAGCAAGACAGACAAGTTGCAAGGAGCTTTTAATAGGGCATTTCTCCTTCTTAAGTCAGGGTCTGATTCGACTTGTCTGACTTACACCCCCACATGTAATAGAACAGATCTAGGACATTTTAAAGCCTGTAATAGGTGAAGAAAACCCAAAATTTGTTACGTGGTGTTCATTTACTCACAGGCTGCAGTAGCTCAGGACGTGATGCATCTTGTCTGATTTTTCCTTTTAGTACCATAGGGTTGAATTCTACAACCTTAAATTTTATTTCTTTCAGTTTAGAATTTTCGATCCATTTTCTGTGATTAAAAAAGAAGTGATAAAAGAAATATTGAGTGTGTGGCAAGTACTTCCACTATGAAATTCACAGACTCTTAGGAAAATAAGAAGGCTTGAAAGTTCACTCATCCATTCTATCCCAACACAGAATCACTTATGTCTACACCCATTGCACACAGATATTTGTTTAAAACAAAACACAAAAACCCCACACAAAACCCCCAACAAAACACACACCCCACAGCACTGTCAAAACCAGAGAGTCCATATGTTGTCCAAACAACCCATCTTTCACCATGACTAGCAATAAGTGCTATTTTTTCTAAGATTTCTTGCTATAATTAAAGATCTTGATTTCTTATCTTATTTACCATGCTCTTAAAGTAGAGGTTAGTTTTCTCCCTTTTACAGTTTTATGTCCTTCCACATGACTGCCACATCACCTCCTAATTATAATTACTCTAGACTAATTTTTTCATTATTTTGTCAGACTTCTTATCACAACTACTTATTTTCTCCTCTGACCTCTCTTCTAAACCCTTCCTGAAGGCACCTAAAACTAACCACGTTTTTTTGATGCCTTAATAATGTCTGCAAGATTGAAAAAAGTTTCCTCACATCTCCTCTGGTTGACATATATGTCAACATGTATATCCACTGATGCATGCCTTCTGTTTTTTTGGATTAGTGTGGTCAGCTATCAGTCATAATTCCGCAGTTTTCCAAATGAATGCCACTGAACCTCTGCTTCACTCTGAGCCAATACAATCAGCTATTCCCACCACCATTACCTTGTCATTCCCTCTGCTGATTCTAATCATATTTTACAATTAATTTTTCCAGTTCATCATGAATAATTTGTTTTCAGCTCTCGTCCTCAATAAATTTGCTGCTTCATGCCAACTGCAGATTCATAAAGAACATTCTCTGCTCTATTATCTAGGTTGCTGATGAACTAGATGTGGAAAGCTCCCTGTGGGACCCCACTCATTACATTTTTTCAGTTTGACACCAATTGTAGCACACAAGCAACAGTCAGAGGTGAGGCCTGCTAAGAAATCTGCTTTAGTTTTGATTCACACCTTCCTCCTCTTTAAGATCATGTTTGCACATTTTAACACCGAAACATGCTTTCATTACAAGCCTTTGGGGATTCTTTTTATAACCTTTCATTCATCCTCTTAGATGAAGTTAGTTTTAAACAGTTCTGAAGCTTAAGACAGGCGAGAGGTAAGTGCAGTGCCACAGTGTGGGATTGTGACGAGTAGGAATGTGTATATTTAGCTTACTAAAGACTCTTCTGCACCCTGTCCACAAAAGCAGAGAAGGACAGGTCTGGGCATGGTATAGCTATTTCACACCCTTTTACATCAGTCAGTGGCTTCCTACATGTACAGAATCCTGAGGGCTGCTTTCAATAGCACTACTTAAATAAAGGGGAGAAACTTTTCCCTGAAAGGTCCTCCAAAGTCCATCCCTGTGCTAGGGAGAACAACCACCTGGTCCTAACTTGAGCATGAAGCAAAGAAAGGCTGGTGTATACCGAATATGTGGGATGGTTGTCTTCAGCCCAACTATGTAGAACAAAACACTGGCCTCTGTGTTGCTGTGGATGCTACTGATGGCTGCTACAGTTGCACCCATCCTGCCCGCAGCAGCGCAGATCACCACTGGGATTTCTTCTTCTGTTTCCTCAGGACTCTCCAAATCAACTACAAGAAACAAATCCGTTTTATGTCAGACCTGGGTCCCAGGAATGAATAAGTACTTCCATGAGCAGTGGAATCATTTCACCATCACCCCATTTCCTTACCACATTCTCTACAAATCGCCATCTGGCCAGGCACACAGCATGAGCTGTCACTAGTCCAGAACTGCATGCAGGTTGACTGGACTGTTGGATGCCTCCAAACAGAATATATAAGAGAGTTCTCAGCATCTTCTTCTCAGCAGGGACACAATTTAGCCTGTCCTTCATGTAGCTGCTTATTCATATGAAACCTGAAGAGGTTTTAATATCTTTGAGACTTCTAGTTCTCAGTTACATCTGGTACAAATCGAACAATAGGTTCCAAAATTATGAAAGGAAAGAACTGAGTCAAAAAGAGAGCAATTGCATGACCTCCACTTCTTTGGGAAGTTGGCTTAAAAGGAACAGTGCAACAGTTTGTGCCAGTGGGAAGCTGCTAATGATAAAAGGGAAAAAGCCTCTAAATAATACTGAATCAGGTCACATTACTGACAAGGAAGACTTTTATCCCTAGCACTAGTTAGTTAACTTACAGAACTAAAATGGATATATTTATATTGGTTAAAACATAACCATTTAAGTCATAACAACTCCAACCAAAATATACTGAAAATAATTGGTTTATACCCAGAAAGAGTTTGTTTTCCTTGGGAAGAGGGACTAAGCTATTTGTATTAACATTTAGTACTAGCTCAACCATATCAACCCTATCAGGTTTGTGTCACTATACATATTCCAGCTAAAACTTCTGCTGTAAATGTCAAGATTTGATGGTCTATCTGAAATCAATAAGCAGGCCAAGAACATTCCCAAAGAGGCAAGTCGCGATCGAAGTTTATTACGAGCTGACAACTCCAATCTGTTCAGCACAAATAAGGATATACTCCAGCTTCCATCTACATCTGTGACATCTGGATAAAAACATGAATCAGAATGACAACTTGTAGTCATTACTACCAATCTCTTACTATTTTATCCAAATAATTCAGAAGCAAGAAATGTTGCATCCCAGATCATATGGAATGGTGTGAGTAGCTCAGCTACTGCAGGACAAACAGGATTCAGTAAGATGAAAAGTGCTGCTCAAATCAAGACATCAGGAATGCAAAATGAAACAGAAGTGCAGGTCACGTACCTGTTTCATTTTTTAATGCCGATGGCACTTGGTGAACTTTGTTATACAGAATGGCACACACAGTTAAGACAAGAAGTAACAGTAAGATCTGGTTAACTGAAACAAAAGGGAGAATGTATTAACAACAAGTGTAAAAGTATAACACGATTCCCAATTATCTGTTTAAAAAAAAAAATAAATTCAGTTTACAACCAGTACATATGATAACCTGTATTTTATGGGTTTATCAAATTCTTCTTTCTCATGTTATTTGATCAAGCTAAAAATTTTATGTTAAAAACATAACTCTTTCCTGCTACAATAATTTCCATCTATCTATTTTCATGGTTAATTTTTTCACTAAATCATAAGACTCACAATATATATGGGTTATCCATACTAGGAAATTCACATGTTTCTGAATTTTACCAGAAGCTTGGAACCTTTTTTCCTGCCTAATTTGTTGTCTGCTTATTCTCACAGGACATCTTGACTTAATTATATTTAGCTAGCCCTTTCTTTCTTTCATGCTTTCCTGATAAAACCTCATGCAGAGGAGAATTTTTTTTCTCTATTTCAGATCTTCAAGGTGTTTTTGAGCAGAACTCAAAAAAGTCTAGAGAAATAAACCCAGCATGCTACTGAAACCAGGAATGTTATAAAATATTTGAAAATGCGTATCTTGACAGGGTAATTTTAATTAGTAAAATCAAAACAAGGCATGCAACAGCAAAGATCTGACTATGTATTCTGATTTACAGTTCCCACAAGTCTTGTACAAGATAAAGTCATTCAACACAAATCAACCACGTGCAGGGACCAGAAGAGTTCACAGAGTACAGCGGGAAGGAATGCATTGCCATCAACAGTTACTTTGATGATGCGAGTTCTTTGTTTCAGACGACTTTGTTACTTTTGCACTACCATAAAAGGTATTTAAGATGTACAAAAGAGCAAAGGGAGCAGGACTTTGAAGTGTTTTAATCAAAAGGGCCACCTGGCCACAACTGGGCATGAGAATAAACTGAAATTGGTAAGCATATGTCACCAAACCTGCACTAATTTAAACCAGTTGAGGAAAAAGTCCACTGACAGCAGAGAAATTCTGGGTGCATAATCAAAGGCAAACAACAGCCCATTTTCACTCACTGACCCTGACAGCTGATGAGAACTCCAAACTTCTTGAGGGACACACCTCAATTCTGAGTATGAACAGCATTAATGTGCAGAGTTTATTAAAAAACAGTCAGGTTCAGTGCTCTAGGCACAACCCACGTGGAACCAGCAGCTACCTGCACTACTGAAATTTCAGAATCTCCAGTCTCATGCATGCAGTAATTTTAAATTGATGGGATTTATGGTTGTACTTATCCCACTTGGTTAACAGGAAAAGACTTATTTGTATACTTAGAGCTAAGCACAATTTAGGAAAACTAGAACTATAAATTTGTATGCAACTGTGAGAGCAGTTGCAGGAGAAATTGCATTTGACTTTTCTGTGCTTTTAAAAAAATATATGTTTTAAATGTTTTTAATCTCTTACTTTTCTTTAAAAGAGCCATGTGTCCAGTTGGATGAGAACTGTGATCTGTGGTAAAATAAAACAAACAAACAACAACAACAAAAAATTAAAAGAGGAAAAAAAGTAGAGAAAAATCATTCATGCCAGAAGTGAATACTAGTTAGTTATTTCAGAGACGAGGTTTTGAATTATCAAATTTTACTGCTGGACTGGTAAAAGTAAAACTGTATTTGATCTCTGTAAATACATTGCTTTTTTTAAACAAATAACTAGTATTCTGGGCTAGAAATATTTCATATTTTAATTTAAGAACTAGCAGGTTGTAAAAAACATTTTAACAAATTCCATCTGATCACCTACATCAGCAATAACTAATATTTTTAAAATAGTTTAAAATAACATGCAAAGAAGCATTAAATCACCCACTGATGCAATTTATAAATACATTTATCTCTGATTTCACCTAAAACAAAGTAACTGTCACAAATACTGATCTCTTGCTGGAGTATGCTCACAAACATATGGGGCTCTTATCTTGGAGTAGTGTCTTTCAGACTTGCAGAAAATTTCAGAGCAATAATAAAAATATTTGCTAGGAGCGGTATCCTTCCACAAACAGTAAGGAGGGAGTATGTGTAACGTACCCTAAACCTGTACTTCTAAGCCAGGCCCAAGAGCAGCCATGACCTTATGCCTGAGAGGACAGAATATAAACCCTAAAATACAGGATTATGGGAAATACAACATTCTTTTTAATTCTGGACCCAAAACTACTGTTTGTGGAAAAAAAAAAAAAAAACACCAAATCACAAACCCAAGATAACAACAACCAACCAACAGTAAAAAACAGCATCAGAAGCTGAGGGGGAGGGAACAATACAACTGTATGATCTAACCTTTATACTGTGTAGCTGGATATAGGACAGAAAGCAATTTTTCCAGTTACCACACTTACAATATAGGGACACATTACAGCACAGATAAGGATAAATGGGGGTTTCTGTGCCCACACAAAAATGAAATTTAGTCCAGCTCCTTGAGAAGACAGACAGAACAGCAGGAATTCTTGAAACCTGAGTCACAAAAACTGACCACCTCTCATTGGTTAATGCTCAAGTTCAGGCAGCATCCTAAATTAGTCTCTACTTTGACCAACGAGTTAAATGACAACAAAAATATGCAAAAAATCTAAGATGTGGCTTTGTTTACAAACCACTTCTGTAGTTAGGTCCCAACAGAAGATTAATTTGCAGTGAGAAAGGAGTAATTTTGGAAGTTTTTTTCACATCTGCACTACTTATCTACATTCCAGCAGATCACTCTCTTCATGTGGCATTAATTTACACAGAGGAAATCAAGTTTATCTGTCGGAAAAAACACCACAGCTGAAAAAGCCCTTCTCTCACGCATTACACACAAGTATCATCCTCATATGCATTTAAAAACTTTACTCATGTAGGTAAGCAGAGAGGCAACAGAACCCCTACACTCTTGGAGTAACTTTCTAATCCCATTTAGCTGATCACAACCTCTCACTGATTTCCACAGAGCTGATCACTATCTTTGAATTAGTATTTGTAACAATACAGTAACAACACAAACAGTCCCAGTGATCACTGCAAGAGGAAAGCTGCATAGCTACAGCTTCATGGTACCCTCAGAAATTATTAAATACACACAAACCGAACCATGTTTTAAACTTTAAAATGCAACCTCAGACAGACTCTCAAACAAGTTTGAGTTCTAGGACTACATCATTCCTATGCCTCAGAAACACCAACTGATTACCTGCTGAGTTTTAAGGAAAGAGAGGTATATTTGCTCCCCTGCAAATATTTACTGATTCTTCCTGCCTGTAGACATTATTTCCTGGAACCTGGCAGTCCCTAACTCAGCTGCCAAATCCTGTAACAAAACGAGGGGCTGCAGAAGGGAAAGCTCAGAAACAGTGACATTACTGCTCAGATATTTCCTGCCTAATTAGTCTTTTTACCTCTTCAAAGCAGCACAGTATTCGGGACTCCTCTCTCCTGAAGCGCTGAGGAGCTATTTACTTGGATCCTAGATAGCCCACAGCTGTGAGCTCTCTTGCCAAAGCCTCCTTGACCACCATCCTCCTTTGAAGTCACCCGCACAAGGGCCTTGCAGGGCACAGAAACAGTTTTACGATTCAATTCCTTTTTCAGACTCTTCAAAGTTTACTTTGGAGTTGTGCTGGTTTTCTTTTCTTTCTCTGCTGCTGAGGAATAGCACAGAGTCCAGACGCTGCACTGGAGGAATGAGAGCCCATAAACCACTTCCAGATGTGCAGAACGATGATGCAGCCCCAGATTTGGCAAACTTGCCTCAGAGCTTCAGCTAGCAGATTGCAAACAAATCCCATAAGACAAAAAGTCTTAAAGGGGTGGGGGAAAGAGAAGGAAGCAAACCCTTCCAGAAGTTACTTCCAACAGTCTAGCTGCAAGTTAGGTTTCTAGTCATTATTTATTGTAAATGTGAACAGATAACCAGTGTGCAAGAGCCAAAATACAACATGCCAAAGTCAAACTGAAAGCCAAAGTTTTTCCAATGTCTGTTGGCAGAGTTCTTGCAAGTCAAGAGCTAAGGGAAATCTGCAAAATTCAACTCTGAACATGCATTTCGACTTGAATCATCTCATTTCCAAATCTTTGAGCATTTAATCCTCAGGTTTGGTTTAGAGTCAAAAGTATCTTAGATCAAGGTTACCAGCACATGTTGATATCCTGCCTTCTAAGCTCTCCTGGAATGCTTTTGCTCTTTTATTTCCACAGCACTTCTTTTATTCACATTCTCTCCCTTCCTTCTAGGAATGACCCTTCTATATGATAAAATGTTGTTTTGTCACAAGATTTTCATGAATGCTAAAAGGAATAATAATAATCATCTTCAACACTATTGTTCATATTTTTAGCATGAGGCAGTGCAAAACTTACGAAGAGTACTCTGTGAAGGTTTTAAAAATCTTACATGTTTTATATAAAGATTGCTGTTCCATTTGCAGGAACTGAAAATATGGGGTTTCAACTGTATGCCTCAAACATGCCCAAACTGTATTATCTGTGACTGATTTTGTATGGAAATCCATCTTTTGCAGAGCTCCTTGAAGGAAAAATAAATGAAGAGTTAAACATACAGTTATGTGCTTTGTGCAGATGGCCACAACTATTAGTACTTTTTCCATACACTGGTAATTAAGCTGTATCAAGCTTATGTTTTTCAAAATCCACCTGTGTTTTTTCACCTCCCTTCCATTTCTATGTGGATCTGAACAGATCCAAGCAGCACAGAATCACGAGCCTGCAGAACTGGGACCAGATCCTTCACCTGACAGCAACCCCTGAATTACTGGCAACACAGTAACACCTTCACAGAATCACAGAAGCAATTAGGTTGGAAAAGACTCTGAGATCATCGAGTCCAACCCGTATCCGAACACCACCGTGTCGACTAGACCATGGCACCCACTGCCACCTCCAGGGACCATGACTCCACCACTCCCCTGGGCAGCCCATTCTAACCTCGAATCACCCTTTCTGTGAAGAAATTCCTCCTAATGTCCAGCCTAAACCTCCCCTGGCACAGTTTTAAGACTATACGTGGTATGTTAGAGAATACTGACAGCGCTCAATTATACATCTCGGCATGGCAATTTACTGTGTAGAGCTCGATAAGGAGGCTTTTTGTACCAGATACACCTTCTTTGGATTTCCCTCAGCCTCACACGTTTATATTCTCACACAACACCCTGCTCTCACAGGAAAGAGCAGCTTCTCTGCTGCAGAACGAGACCTTCGGATTCGCTCACATCGCCCGCCGTCAACTGCAGAACCGAAACCTTGGTTTCTAATCTCAACCCTCAGCGCTGAAACAGCAACTCATCCCTTTTCTCACATGAACACCTCGCAAGCAGCAGCCTTACGTCGCCAGTTAAAAAAAAAAAAAAAAAACCTGAATCTGCTACACGTTTCTGGGGACTCAGAGGAAGAGCCGGGCGCTCGGGGCTGAAGAGCACACGCCACACCCGCGGTGCCCCGGGTGCGCTGCAGGCCGGGAGCGCGTCCGCAAGGCTCCCGCTGCAGCGCGGCCGAGCCCGGCAGGTCCGCAGGGGCAGAGGGGCCGTGCCCACAGAGGGCTGCGGCAGAGGCGGCCGCGGGGCGGGACACGGGCGGGACACGGGCGGGCCGCGGACCCGCCGCCCTCACGTCAGCGCCCCCCCTTCCCCGCGGGCTGCCCCGGCCGCGCGGTGCGTTGTGGGAGCGGCGCTGAGATGGCGGCGGCCGCCGCCGGGCTGAGCTGGAGGCGGGTGTCCTCCTTCACGGGGCCGGTGCCGCGCTCCCGCCACGGGCACCGCGCGGTCGCCATCCGAGAGCTGCTCATCATCTTCGGCGGCGGCAACGAGGGCATCGCCGACGAGCTGCACGTCTACAACACGGGTGCGCGGGGCGGCCGGGCGGCGGGGCCGGAGGGGCGGGGAGGCGGCGGTGGTGGCGGCGGGGCTGTCCCGGCGGGGCTGTCCCGGCGGGGCTGTCCCGGCGGGGCTGTCCCGGCTCCGGCCGCCGGTGCCACCGGACCCCTCACGGCGCCCGGGATCGCCCCCCGAGCCTCCCGCGCTCACCCGGCTCGGCCGAGTGGGCGGCGGGCGGGCTGAGGAGCTGCCTCGAGGCGAAATGGCGGGGTGGGAAATACGCCTGGGCCGTGGGGTCTTCCCCGGGATAGTGCGGCGCCCCGGCCGCTGCTGCGGGTTAGTGGGCCCTTCTGGGGAAAAGGAACCTGGAAAATCTCTTGATGCGCCTGTTGTGCTTCCCCAGCCCCTGGCGCGGGGGTGCGGAGTCTCCGCTGGCAGGGCTCGGCTGAATGGCGGCGGGCGGGATTAGTCCCCGCCAGTGTCCGGATCCCCCTTCTTCCCTCTGGTGGCGGCAGCTTACCGGAGCTGAACGCGCTGGAATAGGAATCTCGCTTGGAAAAGTGAACATGCTGGCATTGGGAGCCTTTCCAGACAGGAAGCTGCCCGAGACCGATTTCTTTTGTGAAGGATTAGATGTCTTAAATAGTTACTGTTGGGGATGCTGAATGAGGCTGGAAAAGCGGGAAAACTTGCGTGTAATGTTAGAGCTTGGGCCGAGACCGGAGGTTCAGTGACTGATCTGTGCTTCTCAATCTGCCAGTGTTGGCTGCTTGAGTTTTTCCAAGCAGATTTTTCCCTGATATCTTAAAGATCTACTATTCTTAATCACGGTTTTGGGGGGAGAAGAAAAAAAATCTCTTAACTTTTCTGTTCTGACAAGTAATCTCCAAGAAAACTCTCAGACAGTACAGTTATGCTGTCTGTCAGAACAAAGGTTCAGATGGATACCTTTTGAATGAGGCTTTTGGGTTTTTTTCTGCCCGGTTTTTCTGCTAAAGGTGTTTCCCCTTTATAGCAGTGAAAAAAAGGATCGTGACTCAGTTGTTCCGGTTCCTGGACGAGTGCTTGGCCCAAAGTGGCCTTTTTTTCTCTGGGGTTTAAGATACAGGGTTGTGACCCAGGCTGTCCCAGTATGGGATGCCATCCATGGCTCTTACTCTGCGTGTGATGACTTCCAAGGAGCTGGCACACAGTGAGAGCATCTTAATCCCCTGCAGCAGTGTTCACTGGAAGCTTCTAATTTCATACTTTTCCTCTCCGTGCTCATGAGAAAAGCTTAGGATAAAGAAGACAGTATCTCCTGTAATTCTTTAATTCCAGGGCAGTTTAAACACCAGTATGCTGCTGCTGGATCAGACTGTCTCAGCTGCTCTTTCTTGCCTGTGTGCCCCTCCTCTCCCATGTATCAGTGCAGTGCTCCGTGGATATTAACATGGGTCCCAGTACAGTGTAATTAGTTTTTGAATGGGGCTATTAAGTCCAGGCACACTGCCATGCTGCTGTAGCTCTAATAATTCTGTTTCTAGGGCTAGCTCTCTCTGAGTTAGCATAGTTGTCTCTCTTCTGTGGAACTGCACTTGTGTTCCTCATTAGCCTCTATTCTTGGCAAGTCTCTTAAATTGCTGGGTGACCCTTCATAACTGATTTAGTTGCAGTGACCTCATGGGCTCATTCATATATTGAGTAGCATTGGTTTGATACAGGTGTTTGCTTTTCTTTTTATTAAAAAAACCCCTCAATTAAAACGTAGTGTTAGGCAAGTAGCTCATTCACAGTTATCTACAGGTAAAAGGTAATGCTCTAAAAAGCAGAGGTGTTTAAAAATACACTTTTTGGTGTTTGAAATGTTTTTTGTTTTGGTTTTTGTTTTTCTCTACTATAGTTACAAATCAGTGGTTCCTTCCTGCTGTAAGGGGAGATATTCCTCCAGGCTGTGCAGCACATGGATTTGTTTGTGATGGTACCAGAATACTAGTTTTTGGAGGAATGGTTGAATATGGAAGATACAGTAATGATTTATATGAATTGCAGGTAGGAAATGTATGAAAATGTTTCAATTTTGAGGACTACTATATTTATCTGTTTATGAACAAACACGTTTTATTTTACCAACCGCAGAAGAAAGTTAGATAAGGTTTGCTCTGCTCCAGGAAGAATAAACTTGAAATAGATTCTGAAGATGGAGAAAATCCAAATGCCTTTGAAAAAGAGACTTCCATGTAGTCTACATAAAGTATAAAATATTTAGTGTTTTATTTCTTGGCTCATATATACCCCTTTTAACATATGTCCTGAGAAAAGCCCAGCATTCCCTTAAAAATAATTCAGAAAATACAAGACTGTTAATATTATCTGAATTCTATTTACTGTGAGTGACTATAAATGAAGATATTTCTGAATATGTTTTTCTTGTCTTCAAGGCAAGTCGATGGCTCTGGAAAAAAGTAAAACCTCAAGCTCCTTCCAATGGATCACCACCCTGTCCTCGACTTGGCCATAGCTTTTCTTTATATGGTAACAAGTGCTATTTGTTTGGTGGCCTGGCAAATGAAAGTGAAGATTCAAACAATAACGTTCCCAGGTATGCTGATTTGCTTTGAATTTAATGGCTTTACAGACAGATGACTAGATGTGACAGCTTTGAGGAGGGACATTCTAGTCAGGCTGTTCTGTGTACCAGGTACTTGCAGGTGGATTGTTTGTGCAGTGGACGGGTTACATGCGAAGAAGCCTAAATATTTCTTCTGCTAATCCCACAGTATGTAACACTGACTGACAGCTCTGACACTTTTGTAGGCAAACCTGAGTAGACTTTGGTATTTTTCCTAGTATTTTGGGTGATGATTTTAAGAATGGCTTATTTGTTAGAATTACTTGAATCAGCCAAGTCTCATGAGTCATTAGGGAATTCACGGTGGATGTTTCCTCTATATTGCTGTGGAAAACAGTTATGAATTCATCTGGAAATTTGTTACAGTAACAGCTGAAGTTGGTTTTTTTGCCAGCAAACAGTGCTCTAATGCTCCAGTTTTATATCCACGTTCATCTGCAGTTCAGAGCACTAAGATCCACTGAGCTATAACCTGTCAATTTTAAGCTCAGTAAACAAGGGGTGGGTATCTCATGTGAATGCCAAGATTCAAAGACAGTTATCTAAAAAATAACTTGCTGATAGATTCAGCAACAAATGGCTAATTGTTTATTGGCCAGCCTGCAGGCACAAGAAAAGAAACAGGTTCTTCTCACCTTTGTGGCCTTGGAGTTGCAGAAATTAATCTCTAATGTCTCTGGTCATCATGTATTTCTCACAACTTTGCAGTTTATTCCAAGTGTTTCCATGTGCAGTAATTTCTGCAAAGAATGATGTTTACCCCTGTTGAATGTTTCCTTCATGTAATACAGTGTAGCAAATAAGATATGAGAGCATGTTTCCTTAGAGGCACCAAGTTATAATTGTTCAGGTTTTGTATTTTAAATCCAGTTTTGGTACTGTCCACAATGCATCAAATGTTTTGAGAGTTTAAAACTCTACACTCTCCCACTACAGAAGTCTGTAGTATTCAGAAGGGGTCAGGGTTTAAAGTACACTTGTAATTGTGCTTGTAAGTGAACTTTTCATACTTTTGACAATAATACCCTAGATATTTAAATGATTTCTATGAACTGGAGCTGCAACATGGTTCTGGAGTTGTTGGCTGGAGTATTCCTGTGACCAAAGGAATCTTGCCATCTCCCCGAGAATCTCACACCGCCATTGTATACTGCAGAAAAGATGGGGGAAGTCCAAAGATGTATATTTTTGGAGGGATGTGTGGCTGTCGGCTTAATGATCTCTGGGAACTTGACATAGGTGAGTTGATTTGCCAGAAGAAGTCAGTGCTTACTGGCTGAGAGGAAAAGTTACAGTATAGAATGGTTAATGGCATGATGGGGTGCAGATATGATTGAGTCTAACACCATAATGTTAACCTCCTGTAATTTCTGGAATTAAATAGATACAGCATTGTTAGCATATATTATCCTCACTGATTGTGGGTGAGATTGTTTCTTTAGAGAGTTCTTTACAGTAGTTATCACTATGATAACCAAGCTGAATAACCGTAATGAAACCATAATATATCTTTCTGATAAACTGATAAACAGTTTGTTAGTATTTCCTTGTATTCCTTCCTGGTTTTTAAAATCCAGGGAGTGAATATGCAGTAACAAGGTTTCTCTGAGGATTTTTATTCTTTTTCTTTTAGAAACCATGACCTGGTCAAGACCAGAAACCAAAGGGGCAGTACCACTTCCTCGCAGTCTCCATACGGCCAATGTAATAGGAAACAAGTATGTCTGTTGTTAAAAGCTCAGCTCTAGAAAGGTACACCTAGCAGGAGAATGATGACGCTTATCCACTACTGCTCAGTATAAACCATCAGCCCTGTAGAGTACTTTGCTGCTATTTTAAGTACCGCTGTTAACTGAAGGGTATCAAACTGTCATTGTTTTCATCCAGCAGAACAATCTGCCCAGCCTTCAGGCAGCTTTCCAGGCTTCTTAAAGCACCTCTGTGCGTTCTCGGGGCAGTCTCACCTGGGCCTGAGCTGGCTCTGTCAGGAGTGAGCTCGAGTGCCTCTGTGTGTGTGACACAAATGAATTAGTTATGCAAAAAACTGCTCAAAGAGTAA